CGGGACTTTCTCCCTCTCCTCTCTCTCTCTCTCTCTCTCTCTCTCTCTCTCTCCCTCTCTCTCCCTCTCCCCCTCCCTCTCCCTCTCCCTCTAATATATATACCCCAGACTCCCCATTTCATGCTTCCTGGGATAGCTAACATTTTATCTAGGGAACAACTAGCAGAACACAGCCTCAGATGCACAGTTCCTGGCTTGGGGAGGGCCTGGGAAGCCTCTTCCATTGGTAAGCTGGGAGGACCTTAGGAAAGCTCAAAGCCTTCATGAACCAAAAGTTTGATTGTGGTGTTTTGGTGAGACAGTAATTCCTCTGGGAAACAGGTCAGCTCAGAAGAGAAATCCTCTTTTGTCACACTATCTGACTCGGGGCAGCAGCTCGGTGCCATCTTGAAAGGGAATCCATCCTTAAAACCTGAGCTACCCTGAGAGCCTGACGTCAGAGAACATTCACAGGCCAAGGAGCCTTCATTTGGCTTGCCACAGCCTGTGGGTGAGGGGAGGTCCAGAGAGGCAACTGGAGAGTGGGAGGGCCAGACACTGGCAAGCGAAGGGTATGGCTGGCAAGAGGCTGAGCTCAGGTTGGGAAGGCCTAAGGAGAGACAAGTCCACCCTCAGTGGCCAGGACCAGCTCTCATCCACAGAATTACTCCGGAGTTTGACATCTCGGAGTCTGAAGTCCCCTAGAACCTCCTGTCTGTTGTTCATTGCTGTAGAGCCTGAGAACTCAAAGTTTCAGGTCCTCTGCCTGTGCTTACCTTTCTAGTATCCTTTCACTTCCTTTTGGATTTCCAAAGCTCTTTCTGCCTTTCTCCTTTTTCTTACTCTGTATTTCCTTCAGCTCTCACAGAGGCAGCCTCTAGTCTCTCATTTTGCACAAGATCCCTTACAACCTCACTTTAGAAACAGTTCTTGGGTCTGGTGTGTGGTAATACACACCTTTAATCCCAGCACTTAGGAGTCAGTCAGTCAGATCTCTATGAGTTTGAGGGCAGCCTACTCTACAAAGTGAGTTTCAGGCTATCTAGGGTTGCATAGTGAGAACCTATCTCAAAAATAAAATAAAATATTAAATAAAATAAAATAGCACAGTTCTTTGTAATCCAGGCTGGAGGCTGCCTTAGGAAACTTCCATCACTCAGGCAGGATGCCTTGTGAGATGGGCTGCATATCCTATTGTGGTCACAAGGAGTCATACAACCCCACATGCATTTCACCTTTTCCATCCCAAACGCAGTTTTAACTGTCTCCATCTTATCCTGGCTCAGGTCTTTGGGGGAAGTCCTGGCACAGCACCTGCATAGGCCAGATGGTTTGTTTGATTTTCTTTTATTTACCCTAAGAGAATGGAATGAATGCCAACTTTTCTGATGATAAAATATGATTTGTCACCACAAAGTAAGGAATCTACCTGCAGCCACACAAATGCCGTACAAATTCACAGAGAAACTAGATTTCCTCTTGTCTTTCTGGAAATTTCTTTGGAGTAAATAATTTAAGTTGAAATTCACGTTAAATTCTATGTGGAATCAGAAACTTGGATTACTTTTGGGTAGAGACAAAGGAGATTTTCTTGAACATAAATTTTGTTTTTATGGTAATGATTATACATTCTAGAAGTAAAACAGCTTCTCTTTTCAAATTAGATGATAGAATATCTTCTCTAATTTATATGCATCTTAGAGAATATATATTAGAATCCTCTGAAACTACGTATAGATCATGTGAAAGGGAAAGAAAACAGAAAGAAACCCAGGGCTACTAAAATGGTGGAAAAGCAATACTGTTTTAACTTGATGAAAATTCCTTTTATTTAGCATTTGTGACCAAAGAACCAACAATGTAATTGATAAATTTGCAAGGAATCTTCTGGACTCTATGCCTCATGATGCTATCATCCTACTCAGAGGAGATTTGCCAGGGAACTCTCTCCGTTACATGCATTACTGCGAGGGATTGAGGCCAGATATTTCATTAGTGGATCAGGAAGTAAGTAGATGAAAAATATAGCAACCACTTAAAACATGTTTTTAGAAAAATTCTATTTGAGCCATTCATGGTACCACATACCTATTACTTGAGTCCTAGATTTTGAAACCAGTCCATCATACTATGACCCCATCTAGACAGACAGACAGACAGGAAGACTTTTTAAAAAGTAGTTAGGTATAATGTGGACTTTATAGCATGCCTTTCAGAAGCCTTCTGCAGACTTCCAGCAGTATTAGTTCACATGCCTACTCCTAAAATACTATCAAAGGTGAATGACTAGACTTGGGCACACTATTGCCCTGAGCTACCCGAACAAACTCAGGAGTGTGTTTGTGAAAAAGAAGTCAGCAGACCTGGTAGGTTACCATGAGGACCATCAGCAGACCCCATAGATTACCATGAGGACCATCAGCAGGCCCCGTAGGTTACCATGAGGACTGTCAGCAGACCCCATTGATTACCATGAGGATCATCAGCAGACCCCATAGGTTACCATGAGTACCATTAGCAGACCCCTTAGGTTACCATGAGGACCGTCAGCAGATCCAGTACTTTCCCATGAGGGCCAACTGAGGAGCAGTGAGTTCATGCCATACAGAGGCTGTTTAGTTGATGTCATATCCCAGGAACTGAGACTGTGGGGCAGTAAGATCTTATTTAGTGAATATTTTTGAGCTTTATGATGTATACTTAAAATTAGTCACTTGATAGTTAAATGACTTACACAGGATAAGTAAAACACTATCATACTTGCTCAAATGATGGTGTTCAAAGTGTAAGTAGGAGTCTTCTATGAAAGGATAGAATTAAGTATATAATTAAGAAAAGTAATTTTTCTAATAATTTGTTTTAATGGAAAAAAAAATGTAAAGTCAGACATAGTGACACATACCTGTAGTCCAGTTCTCAGGACCTAGAGGCAGGAAGATCAAGAGTTTGAAGCCAGCCCATGGGACATAGTAAGACCCTGTTGCAAACAAACAAACGAAATATAGATACGGATATAGATATGTAATTAATTGGAGATTAGTACTTAATTTAGATAATTTAACTTTTAGCTTTGAGGTCTAGTTTATTATGTGATTGAGCTTCTCAAGGGCAGAGATTATATCTTATTCATTGTAAGTGAATAATACTTATTTTTTAGTAAATGAAAGCATGGAGTAATAATAGATTTGTGCATTTTATCTAGGTTATTTGGTCTGGCCATCAAAGACTTTCAACCACAGCAATAATTTGAACACTATTGTGTGCCATACAATGTGCTAGGGGCACAGAGATGAAAAGATACAGTCCCTTCCCTCTGGGAGCTCACAGGCTAGTGAGGAGTGAGCCTAGAGCTATATTAGAGGTAGGTACAAAGGGCTGACTGGGGAGCCTGGGAAGGGCACCCATGTCCTCATTTCTGAAAACTGAGTACTGTTCTCTAGCTTAAACTGGGCACAATCATCCAGAGTCAGTAAATTCATGGAGACAAATGAAACATGGGGCATTGATGAGAGTCATTAGTGATAGTCATCTCTTAAGACATAAATCCCAAGAATTAAGTCATCCTTAAAAGAATAGCCAGCACCACATTCCTTAGTTGGGCTTGAATGTATTTTTTTTTTCAATTGCTAAGAGTTATATTCATATTTTAGAACCTTTTCATGCTTGTTGATAAACCTGATGCTTTAAGACATGCACCCCAAGTTGTGGCTTTGTGATTTTTCTGACAGATGATGACTTATGAGTGGTATTTACCTAAGATGGCAAGGCATTTACCAGGAGTGCACTTTCCTGGGGACCGGTGGAACCCTGTGGAAGGAGTATTGCCTAGTGGGATGGTCACGTTTAATCTTTATCACTTTCTTGAAACAAATAAACAGTAAGCATTCTTTTCATATAATAGCTTTTCTAAAATCTTAAGCTTTTCTAAAATTGTTTCTGTAGCAGCTGTGTCTCATCCAAAAGACCAATTTTCTACACCTATTTCCCTGTCACCAGTGAGATTATCTTTGTAATTAAATTGAATATCTGTGCATAAATGAGGCCAGGCAGAAATAAATGTTATTGTTCTGGGTAAAGGAAAAATAAAGACAGATTAGCAAGAACAGCAAATAAGACCTTAGCACAATTCTGAGAAATTGGAGATGTGCCTGCCTACTTGAAGTCATTGCAGGTGGATCGCAAGCAATTACAGTTTCCTCCTGATCAGCACTGTGGCCCCTTTTTAAGTGTAAAGCAATTTTTTTCCAGGAGTAATCACTATATAAAAATAGCTTAAGGATTTTTATAAAGGATAAGACATTTTTATAAATAAGAAAAACACCTACAGTTTATGCTAGCTGAGGCTAAAATAAGAGAATTGTGAATTCTATACTTGAGAACATAAAATTACTTGTAGTTAAGGTCAAGAATAAATAACTCCTTCAGTGGTAAAATACTGAACATTTCTTCTGTCCATGAGATGCTTGGAGTTGTCCAGAGCTTAAAGAAGAAAAATTTATTTCATGCTTTTTTTTTTCTTATAAAGACAACTTGAGAAAATATAGATTCCAAAGTTAAATTATCCCTTGGTAAGAACGTAGTAATGTGATGTTTTCAGTGTGCCAAGCCTGTGTTCTTGGTTCATGGAAGAACGAAGGTAATAGCCATAAATATGATATGAGAGTAACATTCAATTTTTATATTCAGAATAAGACATAATGAACCATTAACATTCCCAAACTGACATTTTTTTGTAAATTTTATTTAGTTCAACCTCAAAAAATTTACCAAGTATTTACTGTGTTACAGCTTATATTAGGCCCCAGCAATAAAAAGGTAAGTGAATGCAAGATGTGAATGCAAGCAGCCAGGATGTAGAAAGTTCTTCACTAGCAAGTGTTACACATGCCATATGGTCTACTGAATAGATTGTTTGACCATATAAGCTAAACCTTCTGGGAACATGGACAAAGAAGCCGGTAACTGCCTGGGAGCAAGCATTCAGTTAATATTTGCTAAGAATTGAGAGTTCAAGGACTGGAACAATAGCTCAGTGGTTAAGAGTGCTTGCTGCTCTTCCAGAGGACCCAAATTCAGTTCCCAGCACCCAGGTCAGGCAGCTAACAGTGGCCTGTGACTCTAGCTCCAGGGGATCCAATACCCTCTCTGGCCTCTGGCGCACCCATATACATATGAACATACACCTAGAGAGACAAACACAAAAATAAAAATTTTAAAAAGCAAAAAGGAAATGAGAATCCAGACTGTCCAAGAACAATGTTGTGAGAATATCATCTGCTCCCTGGGAAATGAGAGAGTAAGGGGAATTATAAAGCGATGAGTATCATCTCTCTTTCAAGGGCTACCACTCTTTACCTTTTGATGAACTCTTTTTTATTCCATTCACTTTAACATAAATTATTTATATGCACATACGCATAGCTACAGGTATGTTGTGTTTTAGAATGGAGATAATGTTTGATTCTCTATCCATCTTTTCTACCTAAGGTGTCGTAAGCATTTTCCTTGTAATCAGTAAAATGTCGTTAACAACATTTTTTGCAGCATAATATCTCCATATGATAACATCTTTTAACAAATATTTTGTTTTTAGAAATTTTTATTGTTTATAGATTTTTGCTGTTATTACGTGGTAATAAACATTCTGGCCTGTAATGTTTTGGTCTAATAAAAATTTTAGGATAAATATTGCTTCTTGGTATCTAATTTTAAAGTTTATCGTAGAACAGTGTATTCTTTTTCTAAAAAACTAGAAAAATAGCTGGGTATGGTGGTGCATGCCTTTAATCCCAGCACGTGGGAGGCAGAGGCAGGAGGGTCTCTGTGAGATCCAGGCCAGCCTGGTCTGCATAAGGAGTTCCAGGCCAACTAGGGCTGCAGGGAGACCCTGTCTCAAAAAAAAAAAAAAAAAAAAGACCTAAAAGATGATGCCTCTTTGTAGTTTTTTTTTTTGAGAGGTAGAATTTTAAATCTTTTGGATAGAATAACTAGTATTGGTATATTAGAATACTATCACTAATATTAATAATATATTAGTAGTCATTAGAATATTAATACCTCAGAAGCGAAATTACTAAATTCTGAAGACATAAATGGCTTAAAGGCATTTGATAGGACCATCATTTAATGAAGTCTCCCTCAATGGACACTTTTAAGGAAGGAAGCTAATTTGTTGAGGAGCTATTATTTTCAACATGAGTAAAATTTACTTTTTTTGTCACACATTTCTATGAACTTTGACATGTGGATGGATATTTGTGTGTTTATCACATGGTTAGGATACAGGATAGTCCAGAACCCCAGACCTCCCCATGCTGCTCTTGTGTGGCTGTGCTGTCCCTCAGCCTGACTGGCAGTGAGTGCTCTGCCGCTCCTTACTATTGTGCTGCTGTTTCCAAAATATCATAGAAGGTAGGGGCTGGAGAGATAAGAGCACTGGCTGTTTTTATAGAAGACCCGTGTTCCAATCCCAGCACCCACATGGTGGCTAACAACCATCCATAACTTCAGTTCCAGGAGATCTGACACCCTCTTCTGTCCTCCACAGGCACTGCACGATATGGGTGCACTTACACACATGCAGGCATACCACTCGTACACATAAAATAAATAAATTTTTTAAAAAAGAATAAAAATAATCATAATGTAACTTTTAGATACCAGCATGTTTTTTGCTTAGTGTAATGCCTTCAAAAATCATCCAAATTAATGATGACTAGGCCTAGTGATACAGGCCTGAATGACTAACCTAGTGAGACCCTGTCTCAAAATAAAAAATTAAACGAGGACTGGGGACATAGATCAGTGCTAGAGTGCTTGCAGTGGTACTGAATCAATGGATCATCTGTGCTGCTGATTTGGGGGATGGGGTGGGGAGTGCAGGAGGGGAATTGTCCCTGAATACAATGGAGACTTTCTCACTTCAGGTGAGGAGTGAGTCAGGGAGCTAGGGTGCCAGATGATCAATGGCCACCAAAGTCATGCCAGGCTAGTGGCTTCTGGATCATTTCTCTCCCAAACGCAAAGATAAACCAGAGGCTGAGTTTCAGAAAGGAGCCTTATCGGTAGGTAAGAGTTTTAGAGAAAGGAAGCAAGCAGAGTTCCGTTGTAGCATGGGGTCCCAAGAAAAGATTGCTACCAAGTGTCCTGCTCTGGGGGTCAGTAAGGCTTTATTGGGTTGAGGCATGGAGGTGAGCTAGTTGGTCCATTTGTCTCACTCATGACTGGTGTTTGGGACATACTTTACAAGGATCTGATCATGCCTTGCTTCCAGGCAGCTGTGCTCATTTGGTTTCTATGTAAAAGGAGAAGAAAGAAAAAAACAAGAAGTCAGAACACAAACCAGTGCCCTTAAACATTTTTCATATTTCTGCCCTCTGGCCAGGAAAGAACTGCCCATAGAATCAAAGACATTTGGGGCTTCTGGCCAGGACAGCACTTAGTATCAAGTACAGGAGGCAGAGTGCCCCATTTCTGAGGTCCTCACCCCTAAACCCCCAACTAGTCTTCTTCCTGTTCTCATCACTACCAGTGTCTAGTGTGAACCCTGCTGGTAGTTTGCCCTGCCAGTTGTGCAAACTCCTTTTAGGGTCACATCTGTGCACAACACAGTGAACTCAGGGCTCAAAGATAAGCCAGGAATTCAGTTTTATGAGTTTTATGAGATTTTTTGTATTGATTGTTCAGCTTTCTAGTCACCCCAGTTCTTTCCCGTTCGCTGGGGTTAGAAAGCTTCCATCTCCTGACATGGACTTCCTGAGACTTCTCTTTGCGTCTTGGGTCAAACTGTAGAAAAAAATGAAAAGCAATGGGGATTTATTAAATGCACATGATGCTGGAACCACTGTTTCGCTGAGTAGAGAGAATGGTTCCCCTCACTCAAAGTTTGGGGTTCCTGTCCAACCACCACTGCCATGGCTTTGCTGCTAACCCCACACTGCCATGGCATTGCCCTGCTGCCTGAGGACAGGGAAGGTCCCCTTCTCTTCAAACCTCAGGTTTCCCTTTTCTCACTCCTTGGCCTTGAACTGGGAGCTGTTTGTCCTCATTTGTCATCTACCTCTGGGCTTCAGGTCCTTTGAGTCAGGCAAGGCAATACTGGAGACAAAGGCCAGGCTCCCTGCTGGTTTGGAAGAACATGGAGTTCTGGTGCTTTCCCCAGACTTCTCTGTGGTTTCCCTGTCAGGTCCTCAGATAGCTGCTGCTGAGTTCCTCCAGGAGCCAAGACTAAGTGCAGCTTAGTCTTTCTCCATCTTCCCCAGCTGTCACATTGGAGGATGCTTTATGCTATATTCAGATATCACATACAGCTTTAAGCAGCTCTGGGAAACTTAGCAGATGAGATGAGACACAAAACAGTTAGTGATGGGGTGAAAAAATTTTACCTATAAGCTGAAATTGTCCCTTTCAAAGTTTTCCAAAGTTTTTACTTTCAAATAATTCTCCCAATTATTTGAAATATGATCCTTTTTCCCCCTTTCCTACTTAGTAATAGCTATTAAGGCATAAACCACAAATTAGAAGAGAACTGTTGTTTAAGCTATTTATATATAATTTTTGCAGGCTCCAAGGCTCCTAATAGTTACTGAAATCTAATTAATTTAATTCCAGCAAGTATTTATTATGTGTTAACCTCCTGCTGTGTGGAATTCAGAGTTAATTCAGGGACAGAGGGCCTATCCTCAGGATGCTTCTAGGCTTCTCAGGGAGACTTACAAATGCAAATAATAAGTATAAAAATGACAAAAGAGATAATAAAACACAATGGGAATGCAAAGAATGAGAGCCTTCTGAAAAGGAATATATGAGACCTTTAAGTCCACTTGCAAAATAAAAAGAGTTATCAAAGAAAGCATTTGTTTACATGTGGCACTCTTCCACACCAGTATCCCTGGTAATAATGCTCATTCCTACTTCTAATGACAGACAGGAAGATTTCATTTCATCTATTTCTATTTGTTTCTTTCACAGTACGATGAATTCCATACATTATACTTGGGAAGGATTTAAATAAACCAACATGTTCGAAAATGGTTTATAAATAAGGTTTAAAGGGTCAAAAATGACCTTTCAGATTGGCGTGGTGGTGCACGCCTTTAATCCCAGCACTTGGGAGGCAGAG